GATTTTAATCCTTCCTTTTTTTTTTTTTTGGTTAATCTTCACCTGAAGATATTTTTCCATTGAATTTTAGAGAGAGTGGAAGGGAGGGAGGGAGAGAAAAAGGGAGAGGGAGAGAGAGACATTGATGTGAGAGAAACACATTGATTGGTTTCCTCCTGCATAACCATGACCAGGGCTAGGGATCAAACCTGCAACCCAGAAACATACCCTTGACTGGAATGGAACCCTCAACCCTTCGGTCCGCAAGCCAGCGCTCTAACCACTGAGCAAGCCATCCAGGGCAATCCTTTATTTTCGTAATGTGGCATAGAATATTGATTGATTTGTGGATGTTGAGTCATCCTTACATCCTTGGAATAAATCCCACTAGATCATGGTGAATGATTCTCTTAATGTGCTGCTGAATTTGGTTTGCTAGTATCCAATTGAGGTTTATGTTCATCAGTGATATTTGCCAGCAATTTTTCTTTTTTTGTGTGGTGTCCTGTCTGATTTGGTATCCAAATAATGCTGGCTTCATAAAATGAGTTTGGAAGTATTCCCTCCTCTTCAACTTTTAAAAGAGTTGAGAAGCATTGTTATTAATTCTTTGAGTGTTTGGTAGAATTCACCAGGGACTTGTTTGTTGGTAGGTTTATGATTACTGATTCAGTCTCCTTACTTGTCATTGGTATGGTTACATTTGTATTTCTTCATGAATCAGCATTGGAAGCTTGTATGTTTGTAGGAGCTTATCCTTTCTTCTCGCTTATCCAATTTGTTGGTGTATAATTGTTCTTATGATCTTTTGTATTTCTGTGGTATTTCATTTTTTATTTTTTTGAGTCATCTCTTTTCTCTTGGTGAATTTAGTTAAATTTTGTCAAATTTTTTTTCAAAGAACCAGCTTTTGGTTTCATTGATCTTTTCTGTTTTCTCTTAGTCTCTGTTTCTGCTCTGATCTTTGTTATTTTCTTCCTTCCACTAACTTTGGGCTTAGTTGGTTCTTCTTTTTCTAGTTTCTAGCGGAGTAAGGTTATTGGGATTTTTCTTGTTTCTTGAAGTAGGTTTTTATCACTATGAACTTCCCTCTTAGAACAGCTTTGCTGCATCCCATACTTTTTGGTGTGTTCTATTTCCATTTTCATTTTTTTGAAGGTTTTTTTTTTTTATTTCTTTGTTGACCCATTGGCTATTCAGTAGCATGTTGTTTACTCCCTATATACACATGACCCCGACCAGGGCCAGGGACGAACTGCAACTGAGGTACATTCCCTTGACCGGATTCGTACCCCAACTCTTTGGTCCATGGGCTGACGCTCTAACTGCTGAGCCAAACCAGCCAGGGCACATCCTGTTTATATTAATAAGATATAGGTAGAGCAAATAATAGTGTAACTAAATTGTGGAAATAAAATGTATTGCTGATATACTATAACTTACTTAAAGCACCTCAGTTATTTTTCTGTGTTCATATATATGTATAGTTATTTTGCTTTGGGGGAATATTAACTTTTTAATAAATTTATGACCTTCTAAAATATATTTGATTTTCAGAAAATGGACAGTTCTTTTTTTTTTTTTTTTTTTTGTACGGATAGAGTGGGAGGGAGAGTGAGGAAGGGAGAGAGAGAGAGAAACATCGACGTGAAGGGACACATCGAGTGGCTGCCACCCGCACGACCACCAGGGCCGGGGAGGACAAACCGCAACCGCAACCCTCAGCGGGAACCGAAGCCGGGTCTCTCCGGACCGCAGGCCGGCGCTCCAACCGCTGAGCCAAACTGGCCAGGGCTGGACAGTTCTTTATGATGATACTTTTTAAGCCCCATTTTTTTTTTTATTAGAATCTTCTTTTTTTTTCCTAGATTTTTTCAATTCTGTGGATTTTTGGTCCTCAGGTCATTTGAATTCAGAAGAATTTTCGGAATGAGTCTATTGACAGTGTGCAGTGGCCTCTTTGCTTTCTAAGGATTGCACTGATATTTAGTTTCTCTATAGGAAAGAGTTTTCAATGTTTAAAAATATTCCCAAAGCCACACATACTAGTTAATTTTTAATTTTCTCAAGCTGCAGGCTGCTGTGCTTAGAATCACAGACCCCTCAAAATAGCTCTGGCACCAGAAATTTATAATTCATGTCTTAAATAGCTCAGTGCTTCTGACAGCTATAATAGGAAATGTAAAGCTACTACTATGCCATTGTTAAATAACTTAAAAAATTTTAAATTGAATATATATTTTCAACTTTGAATTAACTGTATTTGATGCCCTGATGAAATCAAATTTTTATTCTTAAGTGTGAAACATTCAGGTTCAAGGGGAAAATGACACTTAGATATTTTTGGACAAGGTTATAGGAATAAGGGAAGTTATTTCAACACAGCAGAGTTATACAAAAACAGTTGGAATAAATCCAGACTTTAAAAAGGATGAGTACTTTTACCTGGTACTAGGAAAATAAACCAGGCTGCTTCAGAGTGCCCTTGGCCTTGATATAATAAGAATATGGCCAGCTGGTATTAATAGAAAAAGTCCTGGGGCATCACTTGTTTCTTTTTTGGATATTTACATCAATGAGCTGAAAATAGCCCCAATAGCATCCACTTCAATGTGATGTTATTTAGATGGCAGTGATGATAATCATGGAAATAGGAGATCTGACCATGCCTACTCTACAGCATCACTCTACAGGGGAGATATATTTAAAACTAATGCTAAAACAAAGAATAAACATTCATTGTGCATGTCCTCAATAGCAGGCACTATACGTACTAAGTGCTCAACACAAATGATCTCAGTTAATTCTTCCAAATATTGTGACATCCCTTTTTACAGATGGGGAAGGAGAGTGAATCTCAGGTTAAGTAAGCTGTCTGTGGTAACCCAGCTAAGCTGATCCAGGGCTTGTACCCACCATGCCTGGAAAACATCACCAGCACTTGAAAAGAGAAGAGCTCAATAAATGGAAGCTCTAATTCTGTCATAGAAAAATTGTGTACACAGAATATTTCTCTTATCACAAAACAAAAAATGGAGAGCTGATTGGACTGCTTTGAGTCTTTGTACAGCAGTAACAAAAGATCACTCATATCCATGTGTACATTCTTTTCTACTTTGTTTCTGTTGCCTTAGGTGATATATCAGTGAAAATTCTGCTGTGTATGATGTCTGAGATTTTGTTGCCTACATTTTCTTCTGGGATTTTTATGGATTCATTAGTCACATTTAAGTCATTTATCCATTTTGAATTTATTTTTGTGTATGGTGTAAGTTGATGGTCTAGTTTCATTTTTTTGCATGTAGCTGTCCAATTTTTCCAACACCATTTATTAAAGAGGTTATATTTACTCCACTGTATGCTCTTAACCTCTTTGTCAAATATTAATTGAGCATATTGTCTTGGGTCCATTTCTGGGTTCTCTATTCTGTTCCATTGATCTATCTGCCTGTTCTTGTGCCAGTACCAGGCTGTTTTGATTACAGTGGCTTTGTAGTATAACCTGAAATTTGGTAATGTGATCCCTCCAACTTTGTTCTTCTTTTTCAAGATTGCTGTGGCTATTCGGGGTCTTTTTTTGGTTCCATATGAACTTTTGAAGTGTTTGTTCTAGTTCTGTGAAGTATGTCATTGGTTCCATGTGTACATTCTTTATCTTGTTCTTTTCCTCCTGCACTCTGCAGCCATGGGGGAGGAGAGTGCACAGATACTATTATTACAGCCCTTTCATTTTTCTGTGATTGTTAGTTGAAACCAGGGGTTAAGACTGAGAAAGTCTCTAATTGAAATATACAGATGATTTCAAGTTTTATCTGAACAAGTTTTGGGAGTGATTTTGGCAAGTATTGACTGAATTAATTCATCTCACAGTGATTGGTTTCAAAGATCTGTAAAAGGAACCAGCTCAGCACCACCACTAGTGAGTACAGCTGCAGAGAGACTCATTTTGTAAGAAATGAAAAAACCGTTAACCTGAGTCCATTAGTTTCCTAGGGCTGCCACAACAAAGGACCACAAGCTGGGTGGGTTAAACAACAAAAATTTATTGTCTCACAGTTCTAGAGGCTAGAAGTCCAAGATCAGAAAGCAGGGCTGCTTCCCCCTGACAGCCGTGAGAGAGACTCTGTTCATGCCTCTTGCTCAGCTCTCTGGTAGTCTGTTGGCAATCTTTGGGCTCCTGGAAACATCACCCTGACTCTGCCTTCATCTTCACATGGTATTCTTCCTGAGTGTGTGTCTGCCTCCAGATTTCTCCATTTTATAAGGACACCAGTTTCTTAACCTCCACTTCCCCATTTATAAGGACCATTCTAATGATGTCTCTTTTTTTCCCCCTCTAGAGAACTGTTGTATTAGAGCAACTGATTCTTTTTTAAATGAGAGTATTACAGATATTCCCCATTTCCCCTCCATTACCCCTCTCCACCCGGCTTCTTCCACACCCCAGGCTTTCACCAATCTGTTGTCTGTGTCCATGGGCTGTGCATATGTACATATAAGTTCTTTGGTTAATCTCTTCTGCCCTCCCCGGCCCCTTCCCTCTGAGATTTGTCAGTCTATTCTTGCTCTCATGTTTCTAGACTAATGATGTCTTTTTAACTTCATTGCTTGGTAAAGATCCTATCTCCAAATAAGGTCATATTCTAAGGTTAGGACTTCAATATATGAATTTGAGGGGGACACGGTTCAACACATAACACTAAGCACCAACAACTGTGTGTTGTATGCACCCCTTTCCTGGCAGCTCTACCCCCCACCTCCACTAGCTGAGGTATTATCCATAGTATGTCCACTTTACTGAGTGAGTTGTATTTAGTGGCATGCCTCTCCTTTCCAGAATAATACCAAAACAATAAAATTCTATGGTAATTATTCTAAGTTGGAATTTCTTCTTTCTACCAGCCTGGGCATGCTTCAGGGTTGGAAGCCTGCAGTGGGAAAGTGGCATTGGCTTCCTTCTTGCTCTACCTTTCTCCCCTCCATTCTACTGTTCTCATGTTTGTTTTTTTATATTCTTGCAGGTAACACCCCACATATGTCTTCCAACTATAATAATGAATCTTCCAAAGGCACTGTGAAATTACCTACAACTGTAGTTTCCTCATTGGTAAACACCACCTTGAAATTCACAGCAAAACCATCAACAACTCCAGTTTCTTCAGTCACAAAAAATGCAACAGTCACCACCATGAAACCAGTAACAACTTCTCACATGACAACACCAGGGGTGTCAGCAAATGTGACTTCCACCACTTTAAAGTCTACACCCAAAGTAACAGGTGTTTCACAAAACACATCCCATGTGTCAACATCCACGATGACCACAACCCACAATAGTTCGATGACATCTGTTTCTTCATCGGTAACAAGTATGTATTAAAAACAATCTATTTTCCTTATGCTGAAATAGTTGTTCATTTAAATTCCACATTTAGATTATTATTCCTTTCTGTAAAAATAAATACAGAAATTTAGGCAATGATTTTCTATTAAATAAATTAGTTGTATAGATCAGGACTAGAGTCGATTGACCTAGAGTTCTTATCCTTTTAAAACATAAGTTTCCAGCCCTGGCCGACTTGGCTCAGCCGTTAGAGTGTCAGCCCGCAGACCAGAGAGTCCTGGGTTCAGTTCCCACTAAGGGCACGTACCTCGATAGCAATTTTTCCCGATCCCTGTGTCATGGGGGTGGCAACCACTCTGTGTGTCTCTTTCACATTGATATTTCTCTCTTTCTCTCCCTTCCTCCTGCTCTATCTGAAGATAAATGCAAAAATGTCCTCGGGTGAGGATAAAAAAAAAAATGGGTTTCCAAGTCAATCATACCAAATAATGACTGTATAAGACCCATCTGTGAATAAGTTATTTATCCTAATGGGATTTTATTTTATGGTTTGAAAACTTGTCATACCTTTAACTCTTTGCCTCATTGTGGGAAGGAATTAGGCAGGCTCAACCTACATGATTTCCAAACGAAAACCGTGGTGAACTTTAGTTTTAATTCATTTGTGCCATAAAGGTATTTTTAAATGGTATTAGATATAATCATGTATGTAGTATCGGAGTCTCAGCACTCTTTATTTTTTGCATTTTTAAGAATATAATGCCTGTGAAACTGTGAATTCAGAAAACCTTAAGAAGATCCTCTTTTTTACATTATCCAACGTTGAAGTTCTACTTAAAAGCTAGTGATTACATTTATCAAAACAAATATCAGACTTTATGGTTTCTCTTATGTGGTTTTACCTGTTTTACTCTATCTAGTTTATTTGCTTTATTTCTACAACTTATATATTGAAATCAACTTTAATAATGTCTTGGGCTCTTGTCATGATTAAAACCAAAATAGCTTAGATTCCCAACTTACTCAAAAGGAGAAATTTCAGTTAGAAACATTTATTCAAATTGGATCCTGTTTCAAGAGTATAGCTGTGTTACCCAGACCTATTTTGTTAAGGCATGAACTCAGGGAATTTATTTTCTGTGAATCCTCTTAAATCTTGTTGCCTCTCAGATTTTGGTAGACTATGCAAGTCCAGCACCATCAAACACCTTAAGATATTGGGATTGTAGGCACTAGAGGTTTTTCATTAAGAAATGTGTGGGATAGCCCTGGCCAGTTTGGCTCAGCAGTTAGAGTGTCGGCCTGTGGTCCAGAGAGACCCAGGTTCGGTTTCTGCTAAGGGCACGTACCTCGGTTGCAGTTTGTCCCTGGCCCTGGTTGGTTGTGTGGGTGGCAGCCACTCGATGTGTCCCTTTCACGTCGATGTTTCTTTCTCTCTCTCTTCCTCTCTTTCCCTCCCACTCTGTCTGAACAAAAAAAAATGGGGAAAAAATGTCCTTAGGTGAGGATAAAAAAAAAGAAAAGGAAAAGAGATGAAGAGATGTTAGAAAACTGAAGAAAACTAGAGCCAGGCAAGTCTCTAGCACACTAGAGACCAATCTAGAGCTTAGATTCCCCGTTGTCCCTAACTCAGTGTTCATTTATATACAGACTCAGAAAGTTTTAGCTTATTACAATGTTTTTTAAAAGCACTAAAACCTGTTTTTGTTTTGCTTTCTTCTAGTCACAGCAACTATAAATTCTAAAGACAATAAAGGATCAAAATTTGATATTGGCAGCTTTGTCGGTGGTATTGCATTAACACTGGGAATTTTATCTGTTCTTTACTTTGGATTCAAAACGTATTATTCGAGAAGAGGCATTCGGTATAGAACCATGTGAGTTTTGATTGCCCAGGACTTGTTTATTATTTCTGTATTTAAATATGACAAATATCAGAGGAGTAGGGGCAGTGTTCATATTAGAGATGAGTAATTTATAGATTTATGAGTTATATTTCTATTAATCCTCTGTACCCAAAGTAAATTGTCTATGTACAGCTTCTGATTATAATTATTTGCAAACAAAAGTGGATATATACCTATAAAAGTATACTTATTAATGTTATACATTTTTTACCAGAGACTCAAGTTAAACCAACCTTTTTTACTTGCTTAACAGCTATAATCATAAGAAATAACCCCATCAGGTTTCATGTGGCTGTTAATCGCTAGGTCTTGTGTTTGTCAGTAGCACTAAAATAACATCTTTGGTAAAAACATGGTTTTTCACTATATCAAATGAGTTGTTAGCATAATATATGTTATCATTTTATCTGTAGTAAAACTATTTTTCAGGTGATCTTTTACCAACAAGTTCTGATCACTAAAAGGATGTTCTTCGTCCTTCATATAATTTTACAGGTCTAATGAGTTTTGGAAGTATTATCTCCCAACTTTTGTTATGCCAAAGAAGTTCTTTTAGATTTGTCTTTTGAGTCTTATACGGACAAGTACCAATTCATTCTTTTAATGTTAATGTATATAAATACCATAGAAAAGATTATCATTTTTTAAATTTTGTTCTTTTTAAGTTGTAAACATATGCATCCCACACAGACTTTCCAAGTAAGAAACATTTGGGAAATACTGATTGAACCTTAAAATTTACAATAATTGTAAAAATCACTGTGTTTCTAGAAATATTTACCTGTTTTCTTGGTAAATTTAAGCAGTTAAACAGAAGGCACATTTGATTATAATAAATTAAATACCACTTATTTTTAACGTATCAATATTCATATAGTTAAAGATATAAAATGGTGAAGCAATTAAATGAAAATGTGCAGTTTTTCTTTTAAATGGACTTAACTACAAAGTACACAATTTTAGCTTTATGGGCGGCTTTTTCCTCACATATACATGACCACAGAATGCTGTGTGCCGGTGGAGTAAGTCCGAGTCCAGAATCCCCATTGCATAAAAGGAACTGTGCTGGCAGAAGCAGAGTTGGACTCTAAAAGGGGTCTTATTTTAATGCAGGAACCAGTGGGTGGTGAAAATACCATATTTAGTTGAGTCTAAGTACACGTTTGTTTTTTTCCCCCACATTTTAACACCTCTGAATTTAGGATGTTTCTTACAGTGTATGGGATGAGAAAGCATTGTGTTTCCGTTTAATTGGCTGTTTTTCTTAGTGCTATGTTAAAAAAAAAAAAAAGTGCATTTTAAAGCCAGTAGTTCCTTTGAAGTTATAAAAAAAAAAGGTATTCCACAAGTAAGGACTTAATCATTGTCCATTAAAGAACCTGAGACCTTTTATGTAGAGAAATAATGAGCATTTCTAATTTTTATTTATTGGATAATAACTGATGAAAATGTTAGCTCCTTTGTTTCTTAGAGCTGCGTAGAGAGACAGTGAAGTGAATTAGTTAATACATGGGGTTTGAGCCCTGGCCAGTTTGGCTCAGCGGTCGAGCGTCGGCCTGCGGACCAGAGAGTCCTGGGTTCGGTTCCCGCTAAGGGCACATACCTCGGTTGCAATTTGTCCCGGGCCCCGGTTGCGAACCAGGGTTGTGTGAGTGGCAACCACTCAATGTGTCTCTCTCACATCGATGTTTCTCTCTCTTTCTCCCTCTTTCCCTCCCATTCTATCTGAAGATAAATGCAAAAATGTCCTCGGGTGAGGATAAAAAAAAGACGACGACGACATGGGGTTTGAGGCAGACAGTCTTAGTTTTGAGACTGCTGACTAGCAGGGTGCCTTCCCATGCTTACATAGACGAGGCAGGGTAGTGCACAGTGGTCATGACCAGAGTTCACATGATTGCTTAGCTTTTGATCCTCTGCAAAATAGGATAATGAATAAATCAAGTAAATAAGTGTCCTCTTCATTGAGTTACTGTGATGAGTAAATGAATTATGGATGAAAAGTCTGTAGTATATCATCTGGCACATAGTACCTGCTCAAGAAATGGTGGTTTTCTTTTTAAAAGAGGGTTATAATAACTAACTGGTGAAAGTCACACAGCCCTGAGTGGCAGTCTGAACCACCGTTTGAATCCTTATTCACTACAGTATACCAGGTACTTTTACTTACGAAACTTTACACAAAGGAATCCCAATTAATTTTGATTCTTAAACTTGAAATTACTTGTTACTTTACTTTAAAATATGAATATATAAGTAGTTTTTATTCAAATACAAACTAAAGTAATCTTAACTTTTGCTATATTACAGTGATGAACATGATGCCATCATTTAAGGAAATCTAAGGACCAACGGAAAGAAGATTAATGCAACCCTATCAATTAGTTTAAGATAATATTCTCCTTTTGAAAATAGGACAAACAGGCCATGCATATAATGTACAATGTATTATATAAATATGTAAAAGATTCCTCATGATTGCTAAAGGTAAAAAGGATTTGGGGTTTTTAATGAACATTTGAAGCGTATGGTTAATACAATCGTTATAGTCACTTTTAGAAAACATATAGTCAGAAAAGTCCTGTCCCATTTTCTTGTGGCATTGGTGATATAGAGCCTATAATTGGAAAACATCATTAAAGGGCATGACACCAACTGGGTATTCAAATAAGTAGCTTGTCATAGCACTGAGGATGTTGTTTGTCATTATTGCTCATACAGAGAATTTAGTGCTACTCAGAGCTGGATATATCCTTCTTATTAATGCTACACAGAAATTGTATGAGTAAACCAGGTCTTAATCTTAATTTGAGTTTGTCTCTTCAAAACACATCAATATTTGATATGTTTTAAAGTTTAGTACTTGATTTAGAATCAAAATGCTCACATACTCCCTAAAAAAATATCAGATAAAGGCAAAAACAGTACCAGGGTTTAGCCCTATTAGAGAACCTGTATTTTTATTAATAATTTCTTTCAAGCTTTTAATGGCAGTTGATATATAATTATCTTTTTTCCCTCTGTAATTTCAGTAAATTGCATTGTTTAATATGATAGTGTTTTAAAGACTTAGTATTGTTAGGTTATTTGCTACTGTGAGAATATTGTCACCACTGGAAATTGCTTTATTTCATATTCAACTATTAATTATATATTTAGTGAATATTTTTAAGAGATGTAGAGCTGCTTTCAATATATAGAAATGTTTAATGCAGCGTAAACACACACAACTTAAAAAAAATAAAAGTCCCTTATATGATTTCCAAATAACATTTAGGACTCTGTCTAGTCAGAACTATAGATTAATACTCTGTTTATGAAGCCAAGGATTGTAGAGCTCCCCTCAAGCTACTAAACATACAAGATGAAAATATTGCATTTTTCTGCACTGTCAAAAGTTTGAGGAAACTGCATTTTTATAATAAAACACCAGTGTATTTTGGAATAAATTTTTAATGAAGTGTTTAAAACAAGAATTTCTTTATTTGGGTGTTCTTCCCACCACTGCTCTATTGCTGAAGAGGAGGCACTTTCAGACATATTGTTAATGGAGAGAAAAGGATGGTACTATAGGGACACCCATATTCGCCGACATATTTTAGAGTGTTTTCCGTTTATATTCCAGCACTCAAAACTCAGGGTCAAGTTTTGACAAAAGAGATATTTAGTCTTACAAGACAGTATTTTTATCTTAGGTTAGTCAAAGTAAATCACACCAATTTCTAATGGTCTAAAAACAAGCTAAGATGTCTTACTAAACATGTATCTATATTTAGTAGGAACTAAATAACTTTTGTAATCAGCTTTGGCTTTACCGAGAATACCATATATCAAGAATTTTGATATAAAGGGATCATTTCTACTCACTGTGCACTATGGCCAATAATGATGAATGTGGAGGATAATTATCCCAAGTATGGATGTGAGAGAATGTGTATGACACATGCAGGCTGGAAGAAACATTGAGACACACATGTTTACATTAGTTTGAAAAAAAGATGTGGGCTGGTAGGTAAGTTGTATGTTACTGACTTAGCCCTAACTGGTCCTTTCTAGTAATGGGGGCCTTTTCAATTTAAGTTGTTTTGTCCTCTGCATTCTTGACATTTCAGTACTGAAATCAGTCAGAACTTTGTAGACAGGCCAGAAATTTTGAGCACTCTTTTCTTTAGCACTTTGAAGATATAAAACCACTTTTTAAGTACTAAATGTCATGATGTGCTTTTAAAGTTTCCTGTGCTTTGGACTTGAAATAATTTGGTTCCATCTTTTCTCTGTATATAAGTTGTATAATTTGTTACTTTTAAATACCAGTGTTTCAGTACAGTCAGGCGTTTTGCTTATGTGCAAAAATTGAGGGAAACGAGATGCAAACCAGGATTTTGCTTTGGAGCACATTTCCTAATGTTTTTCCTAGTTATGTTTACTTAAAGCAAACATTCAATTTTGTTTGCGTTCTTTGAGAATGTGTTTACTTGAAGATAAAAGCAATCCAGATGTATATATTAGGCAGAATCCAATCAGCAATTTTAAAATGTCCTTGATAATCCATAAAGTAAATAATTCAAATACAGATAAATGAGAGTTGGCAGTATATTACAGGAATAATTTTGTATTTTTCAGAAAAAAAATTTTAAGCGAATTCTTTTTTTCTTTTTCTTATAATGACCAGCTTTGAGTATTTCATTGTTACTAAGATCTATTTTTAGAATAAAATTTTCTCCACCAAAAGTTTTATGTGTGTGCTTTTGCTTCATTTCATCAGACTTGAGGAATTAGCAGAATAGGAAAAGCCCAAAATAACAGGTCAGATTGTTGGTGCTAAACTGACAGTCAAGCGCAGTTACCTGGACCAGCAGCATCATGAGAAACTTGTTAGGAGTGCAAATTTGTGAGCTCCAGAGCCCAGACCTAGTTAAACTCAGGTGGAACCCAGCAATCAGTGTTTTAATCCTACCAGGGAATTCTGATGAACACCAAAGTTTGAGCAGCACTGCTCAGAGATTTTCACTTGTAGCCATTTCTGCTGGGTATTTTTAAACAGGTATATGCATAGTACAGATAAAGAAACTACCATTCTCACCCAGCCAGTGTGGCTCAGTGGTTGAGCATCAACCCATGCACCAAGAGGTCGCCGGTTCGATTCCTGGTCAGGGCAGATGCCTAGGTTATGGGCCAGATCCCCAGTGGGGGGCATGCAGGAGGTGGCCAATCAATGTTCTCTCATCGATGTTTCTATCTCCCCCACTCCCTGCCTTAAAAAAAAAAAAAGTCATCAGAATTGGAAAAGAAGTAAAATTGTCTCTATTTGCAGATGACAGATTGTTACACATAGACTATCCTAAAGATTCCACACAAAAAATAACTTAGGTAGAATCAAATTCAGTAAACTTGCAGGATACAAAATTAATATACAAAAAGCAGTAGCATTTGTATACACTAAATGAATTTTCTGAAAAAAAAAAAAAAGAAATAGAGTTCCATTTATAATACCATCAAAAACAAAACGCATCAGAATAACAAGGATGGTCACTACTCTGAAAACTACAAGAAGAATTAATTTTGTTAAAATGTCAATACCACCAAAGGCCACCCACAGATCACCCACCTAACAAGATTCCAATAGAAGTAGAACAGAAACAATCCTAAAATACATATAGAACCACAAAAGACCCCAAATGGCCAAAGCAGTCCTGAGAAAGGAACAAAATGGGAGGTATCACACTTCCTGATTTCAAGCTATAATATAAAGCTATTTGTGGTTGTCAAAGGTGGTGGGGAGATAGGGAAAAATCAGTTTAACTCTAAAGAAAATAAAAGCTATAGTAATCAGAACAGTATGGCACTAGCATAAAAACAGACAGACCAATGGAAAAGAATCAAGAGCCCAGAAATAAATCAATGTGTATATACCATCAACTAATATTTGACAAGTGAGTCAATACTCAATGGAGAAAAGAATCTCTTCAATAAATGATGCTGAAAAAATTGAATATTCACATGTACAACAATGAAACTAGGTCCCTGTCTTACACCACTCACAAAAATTAAATGACTTAAAGACTTAAATATAAGACCAGAAGCCACAAAACTAGAGGAAAACAGGAAAAAAGGTCTTTGACAATGGGTCTTGACGATGAATTTTTGGATATGACACCTAAAGCTCAAGCAACAAAATAAATAGGACTACATTAAACTAAGAAATATGCATAATAAAAAAAATATTTTATAAAATACAAACATTTTTATGTCTACTCTGCTGTTATGTGATCTTGCAAATTCATTGGTAGGTTGGCAGTAAAGGGGAGAATGCAATTGAATAGACCTCTCTAGATATAAATAGCTAACAACCAAGAAAAAACAATAGCTGGAGAGCTGAGATGAAGTCCTGGAAGATTTCTACTGTGTACAGAAAGTACTCAGCCCTTTTCCTGGAGCAGCACCACACCCTATACACATTCATCCGTCCTAACCCTTTGCCTTCCCATCTGAGGAAGATGTGGGCTTCTGCCCCCAAATGTCTAGATTTACCATTTCCATCTACTCAAAGGCTTTGCTTAGTATTAATAAAATAATCATCTTGAATCATTTCTTAAAAACCAATTAAAGTGCCACTTCTTTTTTGCTGCTTCAAAAAGTTGAGAAAAGAAAATGTAGCAAAAGGCTTCTCAGAACATGTCATCCTGTCTGTTTGCTGTGGGATCAGGCAGGAAATTTCTGGAACTGAAGATACTCTGCATCCAAAAGATATTTTAAAACATTAACTGAGATAGAACACTTCCTAACTCATTCTGTGAGGCTGGCATTACTCTGATACCAAAGCCAAACACACCACAAGAAAACTACAAACCAATATTCCTTATGAATAAAAAGGCATAAGTCCTCAACAAAATATTAGCAACTAAATCCAATAACATTAAAAGGATTATATGCTATGATCAAATGGGGTTTATCCCAGGAATGCAAGGATGATTCTTCATAACAAAAATCAGTTTAGTATATCACATTAATAAAAAAACAAAGGGGGGGGGAGGACCATCTTGATGCAGAAAACATATTTGACAGTATCCAACATCCTTTCACGATAATACTCAGAAAACTAGAAATAGAAATTACTTCCCCTACCTGACAAATGGCATTTATTTAAAACACACACACACACACACACACACACACACACAGCTAATGTACTCTAATAGTAAAAGACAAAGCTTTTCCTCTCCAAGACCAAGCATAAGACAAGGAAGCCTGCTTTCATCATTGCTGTTTAACATTGTGCTGAAAGTTCTAGCCAAAGAAATTAAGTGAGAAAAAGCATCAAACTGAAAGGTAAAACTATCTCTATTTGCAGATGGCATGATCCTCAAATAGTAATAAAACAATCATCTTGAATAATTTCTTAAAAACCAATTACAATTAAAAAAATCTAGACCTAAATAAAGTCACAAAGTTGCAGGGTACAAAATCAACACACAAAAGTCAGTTGTGTTTCTATACACTAGCAATGAACAATCCAAAACAATACTAAGAAAACAATCTCATTTACAACATCTAAAAGAATACATAGGGCCTGGCCAGTGTGGCTCACTGGTTGAGCATTGACCCATGCACCAAGAGGTCACCAGTTTGATTCCCAATCAGGACACATACCCAGGTTGTGGGCCGGATCCCCAGTGGGGGGCATGCAGGAGGTGGCCAATCCATGTTCTCTCTCATTGAAGTTTCCATCTCTCCCTTTCTCTTTCTCTCTCACTAGGCTGGGAAAGGCAGGAGGGGCGAGTGGGAGCAGGAAGGAGAGGGCCAATGG